ATAATTTCCTCTACAATTTCCATCGATTTTTGAGCGTTTAATAGGTCCCTGCAAGTTTCTCGCTGGCCAACTGACCCATTCTCTCACTAATCTACTTATCACGGTTATTTTCGTTTCGTTTCCATAAATCGCATTTTTAGTGTAATGCAAAGGTTTTTGAGAAATGCTCAGAAATAGAGGAAGGTCCCCAACTTGTTGGACGGACGACTCGAAAAAAATCACTGGAAACTGAATACTGGTTGCTCAGCATAGAAGAGAAGGACAAAGTTAGACAAAGGATTTTGACCAGCAGACAAGATGTGATGCAGCATCTATTGATGATCAAATGATGGTTCTGCTCTAGAGCTTCACAAATGAGAACAGTCCCCTTTCAAAGATTTTGACCGACTAGAGTGGCTGCTAGATTTTTCGGATAGGACTTGTGAAAATTATAAAACGTGTTTTACCAATCACTAAGCTTCTATTGTCAAATATCTATTAACAGCAATTAATTTGCAGCTGCTTGCTGTAAAACGTTAAACGACTACAAATTATACTTACTGATGAATATAATTTCAGCTACTTATACCAACAAGTTCCTTCTCTAACCCCGTGAAAATATCATCAGATTAACAATACTAAATACCTTTTATAAAGTGCCACATCAATAATGGTTGAACAGCAAGGAAATCATTAATATTGCAAATTGGAACGAACGTACGGACAATTTGCAGTTGCATCATTGCGACTTAATGCATTCAGCCTTGGCAGAAAAAATATCTGCACGTTCGGGTAAGGAAATTAGAACGGATATCTATGCGCTGCACTTGGTCTTGAGTGGCGATTCTTATTCTCGCGATATTTTTCCTGTTTCGTATGAGTGGCGCCAGTAGCCTTTATACGGGATGTCTTCGTTTTTTATCTATATGGACGTGGAGGTAATTAAATTAAAATGGCATCATTATTATCGGAAACAATGTATTATTACAAATGTAGTTTTAAACAATAGATAATATGAACAGAAAGTTTTTGCCAATTACAATGAAGATGTTTCAATTTTTTTATAAGGTTTTTTTATGGATTCGGGGCAAATGAAATAGGGAGCCATGAAATTTTCTTTGAGACGTTTGGACTGATAAGAAATAATTTCTAATGGTACAGCGGATTAGCTAACCTATTGTGCACTTTTTGATAAAGGAACCAAATTTGGCACACAGACGTAGATCGATGTAATATGAATAAAGGAAAACGTTCGGCTGTCATGATATTGAAATATGTTATGCTTCTCGACCTCCTGAACGTAAGTTTTCGTAGGCCCAAAAAGATCCTAGGGGAGACAGGGGTACATTTGAACAAAAACTACTCACTCCTTGATAAAAATACCATTTTTTATTTTTATTGATTTTCTATAAATTTGATGAATGGTAACACTTATTGGCAACCAAAACACGGTATCACCAAGAAATAAAAACAAAGAATAATTCAGAATTTTTTTATTTTCTGCAGTTAAGCATTTGTTCAAATGTACCCCTCAGTTGGGGTACATTTGAACATCTAAGGGGCAGCTTTGAACAAAATTAAAAAATGCATTTCCTGACCTTATACCTCAAAAAAATATCCCCTGTTTCAAAAACAAATAATCGTTAAATACATTCACATTATTTTCTCCTTAAAAGTGGTAAAGTCAAAAGCAAAGGACAATATATATGCTGCCCTAGCGGTTCCCCTCGAGATGTCTGGTGCTGGGAGTTTCAACCTGATGTCTTCTCTCTCTACTTCACTAATGTCATGTAGGAACCAGTTTGGAAGATACTTGTTGGGTGGAAAATTTGGAATGGAAATTGTGTTTTACCGAAGAAGTAACCGTTCCCTCGTCATTAACCTTTATCTTCTTGAGGCGATAAAATAGAGCTGTGTGTGACATACCATAATGTGCAGCTGCTTCACGCAGTGTCATATTCTGATCACGGACAGCCCTAAATCCGGCTTCCACCCTGTTCACTGTAAACAGGCTCTGGTTTTTTCTTCTTTAGTTACGAACCATTTTTGCACCTGAAAATAACATTCCCCTTGTAATATCGCCTTAAACACATGCATTTTTGAGTGAAACGTTAACTGAATAGCGTTCAAATGTGCCCCCCATATTTTGTTCAAATGTGCCCCAACATAATTTTTTTGCTTAACCTTTTATTTTTTCATGACCAAAAAATAAAACCATCAAAAACAACAAAATTATTAAGAAGCTAATACTTACCTCTTTCAAATGGTATGACACTAATTCACTTTATTTTATTATTTGTAAAACTACAAGACAATTTCTGTTCTGTGAAAATTTCAGCACATGTGCTCAAATTCATTACACTATTCTGGAAAGCTAAAATAATATCTGGAGGCAACCTAGCATACGGTCATATGTGGTGAAGCAGCGTTGCCAGTGGTACAAGTAATTACTTATTTTAAAATGGGAACATGTTTGAAGTAAAATCAGATGTTCAAATCTACCCCTTGTTCAAAAGTCCCCCAGTCTCCCCTATAATTAGTTTCGGAGATACAGGGCCGGGTTCTTGGAATTCTCAAAATAATTTACATGACTTGTTAAATGAGTGAGCTTATCAGAAACTGCTGGTTACGTTCGCAACGTCTTCGAGGACAAAATTTAAACTATTTCAAAATTAAGTTGAGGTTATGTATGTCACGTGAGGAAAATGATAAATACTATTTCGATGTAAGTAAAGATTGTAACGAGATGCAAATGCTTGGTAAAAGAGAATATAAATTCCATCGATGCATATATTATTTTCATCTATAGAGATATAGCCAGATCAGTTATACCGAGATGGTATCCCCAAAACCACATGGGAGTCATCGAAGTCTGTACAATTTCCACTCACAGCGTTGGAGAGATAGAATGGATATAACCAAAGCATTAAATGAAACAGAATTGTGGTTTTCATACGCTATACGCTCTTATTCTATAAGTACATTTTTTATTCTGTAAAATGTAGGTAGGTTTTCAAAAAACACTAAACATCTTCTTGTGATTGCCATGCAAACTTTTTTCTCCTAGCATCAACACAACCAATAAACAATTAGTTAGCAACCACAATGGAACCAAATTTTTGATTTTAGCCCTATGCTATTACTTTTTTAAAAAAGCACAATGTAGGATATCAGGCGAAAAAGTCGGCAATTTTCTATAATCACACTTCCTTTATCGTAGTTTTTGTTACTAATAATTATGTATCTACCTATCTTTGCTGGATTTTTTATCTAATCAATAAAAGTTTAAAGCTACTGTTGAATTTTCATCTTTTTTCCAGAACAAACACTCGCCTAAAAAATTTTGTGTGCACCTCGGCCGAATGATCTTTTTTGGCCACACCTGAAATTTGCTTGGCCTCGGCTACGCCTCGGCCGCAAATTTCTGATTTGGCCAAAAAAGATCAACTTTACGGCCTTGGTACACAAATAACTATTTCGGTCCTAGGCCAAATTTTTTTCCATGACTTGGTACGTTATTGGAAAAACCTATAATGTATTGGTTGGACTTCATAAGAAATTGAGTTGCCTTCGCGTTGGAAAGCATTTTTCGTAATAAAATCTAAGGAAAAATGAAGAAATCACTCTTTGATGGAAAAAACTGACAATAAAGTTGACACTAACTTTCTGAAAGTTAAAATATCTAATACAAAATCTCACATCAGCATCGATTTTTCCGGCTGCAAATCCTTTGTGGCTACAATATGCTACATTAAAGAAATAATCAATCGGATCAATATACCCAGCTTCTTGATTCGAATCAAGAGCCGCATAGGCATATAATTCAAAATTGATTATTGAAAAAGATCAACTGATAAGATTAAGTCATTTTGCAGCTACTCATCGACATAAATCATTTAATTTTAACATTGGGCCTTATATGATAATTAACCATTACCATACTAAATCGAGACTTCAATACTAGCCCAAGAAATTTATACCTGGGCCGTAAAAAATTTTGCGAGGGCAGGATAATTTTTCCAGGGCTGATTGGGGAGTGTGTTCTGAGTATTGAGCCAAAAAATCACACTCGAAAGCCTTGTGCGTTCGGCCCTATTGGCCTTTTTCTTATTTTTTTTTTCGACAAAATGACCTCTACAAAGCTTGTAGATAATTACATTCTAATCAACTTTGCTCCATGACTTTTTTTGCTAACTATTCTACTTTAGGCGCTGTGGCCATTTAAGTGCTTCAGAATTCGCAAAAAAATTAAATAGCAAATCTGCAGATTATTATACCCAATAAAATTCTCCATTACTTTGCTTGATGACATTTTATTGTTACTTTATTTCTTTCGCTTGTACGGCCTTTTAGGCATTTGAAAAGTTTTATTTGACCTGGTGGACATTGTGGCATGCATAGCGTTTCTAAGGATTTGACACATTTTGCAGGTAAAATGTCCCAGTATTGTCAAAAAAAACATCATTTCGATTTCATGCTTTCACTCCGGGAAAATAATTTCACCGGATTAGTGATGTAATGTATCATTTCTTGGACTGAAACCGAAAACGTAATGGAGTACATTACCAGTAATTTTATTAAAGTTACAATAATCTGCAGGTTAGCTATTTAATTTTTTTACGAATTCTGGAGCACTAAAATGGCTGCAACGCCTTAACTAAAATAGCTAGCAAAAAAAGGCATAAGGCAAAGTTGATCAGAATGTTATTATCTACAAGTTTTGTTGAGGTCATTTTGTCGAAAAAAAATAAATAAGAAAAAGGCCAATAGGGCCGAACGCACAAGGCTTCCGAGTGTGATTTTTTAGCTCAATACTCAGGACAAAGTCTCCAATCAGCCCTAAAAAAATCAGCCTGCCCTCGCAAAATTTTTTGAAAAACCCATAAATTTCTTGGCCTATACTGAAATGGGTCTAACGACAAACACATCATGAAAACTAACATATTTCCACACTCAGAACCTCTCATCTCCACCAAAAAACGACTGTAAAAAAAATACTAAAATTTTGTTTATTGTTGCAGGAAAAGAAGTAATCAGTGGATCATCAAAAGTGGGTAAGTTGTGATTATAAATCTAGTAGAAAAACGTATAGCTAATTTGCTGTAGGCGGTCGTTTTTCGTTTTTGCGTAAAGATTTTTATAGTTGTAAAATAGATGTTGAAATAAGAAAAGTTAACCCCGTTTTTCAAGTCGTACCTATTAATTTATGATTCGATTAATTTACAACCTCTTCATCTTAAGCTAATGATGTTTTTATGGATATTAACTTCGTTAAGTAGTAAATGGTTTTCTTTTTATTTTTTTTTACATCTGTACATCTACGTTTTCCGCTCTCGCATAATAATTGCTTTCAATACTATGAATTCGCCATACCGATATTTTTTCAAAATTATTTTCCTATAATCCTAGATATCATTCATACGAGCATAACTGTTTTCTTACTTAGTCGCAGGTAATTGCACAGATTTATGAATGTACGATGATGAATTCAGATGCTTGTTAACTTTTTCAATCTCGTTGGGAAACATTCATTCGTATCCATAATCAAACCAAATATAATGGTATTGCATAAACAGAATGGAAATAGATGGGAATATTCGAGGAAATCTTAGGAGTAGAGACATATTTTATTTATGATATCAAAATTTATTTGAAATTTCAATCACCTTGTTTTTAGAATTCCACTTTTGAAAAAGAAATCCTAAATATAAAATTACTAGCTGCGATACCTACACTATTTCCAAATCCAAGTGGCAGTAAATGACATTTAATAACCTAAATTTTAAACAAACACCAGCCTTCCTATTGGTTGAAACGTCCTACCTGGACCAGTGCGCATGCACGGAGGACATTTGATAGGTTGCAATGAAAATATCGCAGATAAATAACGACCTGGAGATAATAGAGGACTGGGGTAACAAAAACCTTGTACAGTTCAACGCGCAGAAAACCCAAGCAGCTCTGTTTTCAAAAAAGACCAGCACCGGTGAGCCAAACATCATGCTATCTGGAAGTGCTGTCACATTACAGAGTCAGTTGAACATCTTGGGGGTTACTGCAGAGACCAACATGTCTTGGCACAGTCACGTGGCAGATATTGCTAAAAGGGCCTCCCAAAAGCTGGGGGTGCTATTTCGTACAAGACATCTGTACACACCAAGCCAATTGCTGACACTCTACAAAGCCCAGATTCGACCAACTATGGAGTACTGCTCACATATATGGAGTGCAGCACCCAAACATACCTTAATGCTTTTGAATACCGTGCAAAAACGAGCTATCAAGCTGATCAATGACCCCGCACTTACTCGTAACTTGGATGGTCTCGAACATCGCAGATCTGTGGGCGATTTATCTCTCTTCTACAGGTACTATCACGGAAAATGCTCTGAAGAGTTGGCACGTATGATTCCACCGAGAGTAGCACCTACCAGGCGAACCCGTCAAACAGACGGTAACCATGAATTTACTGTCAAACTAGAGGCATCAAGAACCTCATTATATCAGAATTCATATCTCTGGAGAACAGCATCGCTGTGGAATAAACTCCCTGCGACGGTTTTCCCTACAGGTTACAACCTGAACCGTTTCAAGACCAACATACACCGACATTTCCGCACACTTGCCGCTTCTCGAGCGTGATAGGACATTTCCTTGCGAGTGCGCATATCCGTAAAAAAAAAAAAAAAAAAAAACATGAATTTACTGTCAAACTAGAGGCACCAAGAACCTCATTATATCAGAATTCATATCTCTGGAGAACAGCATCGCTGTGGAATAAACTCCCTGCGACGGTTTTTCCTGCAGGTTACAACCTGAACCGTTTCAAGACCAACATACACCGACATTTCCGCGCACTTGCCGCTTCTCGAGCGTGATAGGACATTTCCTTGCGAGTGCGCATATCCGTAAAAAAAAAAAAAAAAAAAAAAAATATCCAGTTTGTCATTTGCTGCTGCTTGGATTTGGTTCAATCATAGGTGCATAGCTTCAGAAAAAAGTTTATTTTTCTATGAGTGTTGAATAATATGCCTAACATACATCCATTTTCTATTGATCAATGTAAATGATTACTCATGCAGTGAGTTTTTTTCATTACTAATTGTTTTCAACCAATGAAAATATCCTGGTCTCATTACTCGACTATTTAAGAGCTAATCAGAAAATTCGACAAGTTGACAACATACTTCAAGCTTCCAATCGGTCATTTTGACAGATGATTTAAACAAGACTTGTGCTAACCTAACCTCACTATGTCCACCACCCGTCAGAATTGTCAATTAATTTTGTTATGAAAATCAAAAAAAAAAAAACGCATAACTCGTGCCTATTATCTATTAATCATAGAAAAAGTATAGTATTCTACTCGTGGGTAATGGCTATTACTCACTCGGATGATTACACTACTCGCCTGCGGCTCGTAGTGCAAGCTTCATCCTTCGTGAGTAATAGCCATCATTACCCGCTCGTAGAATAATATACTATTATTAAATCGAAGCTGTTGAGACAGTTATGACGTTCATATTTCTAAGGACTACTCAACTCTAGTCAAAGAATAGTTCTGGTAATTTCAAGTAAGATTAGTGAAATCAGGTCTATAAACCTAGCAGTCCCAAAGTGGAAAAAAACTTCGGGAACTATATAAAAATTAGGTGCTCCTTTAGTTTTCGAGAAAATCAAAACAAACTAAAGGACTGCTAGGTTTATAAAAGCTAGCAGTCTCCTATAGTAAAAAATATTTTTTAAATTTTTTTCTTTGTATCAGAATTAGGTGCTTTTTAGGTGCTCCTAAATAGTCGAAGAAAAAATAGAATTGATTAATTATTAACTGGATTACAGATTTTTTTTTTAATTATTAGGGGACTGCTGGCTTTACGTTTACATGTTGGTTGCATGCAAAAACTAGAGGAGCACCTACTTTTTAATTAGAGGCCCTACTTAGAACGTAAAAAGCACCTAATTATTATACAGACCCCGAGTTTTTTTGCCATTCTGACACACCAACATGTAAACGTAAAGCCAGCAGTCCCCTAATAATTAAAAAAAAAAATCTGTAACTCAGTTAATAATTAATCAATTCTATTTTTTCTTCGACTATTTAGGAGCACCTAAAAAGCACCTAATTCTGATACAAAAGAAAATTTTGAAAAAATATTTTTTACTATAGGGGACTTCTAGCTTTCATAAACCTAGCAATCCCTTAGTTTTTTTTTTGATTTTCTCAAAAACTAGAGGAGTACCTAATTTTCAATTAGAGGCCCTAATTAACACCTAAAAAGCACCTAATTATTATATAGATTTCGAAGTTTTTTTTCCATTCTGACACACCAACATATAAATGTAAAGCCAGCAGTCCCCTTATAATTAAAAAAAAATCTGTAACTCAGTTAATAATTAATCAATTCTATTATTTCTTGGAATATTTAGGAGCACCTAAAAAGCACCTAATTCTCATACAAAGAAAAAATTTGAAAAAATATTTTTTACTATAGGGGTGCTGCTAGCTTTTATAAACCTAGCAGCCCCTTAGTTTTTTTTTGATTTTCTCAAAAACTAAACGAGCACCTAATTTTTAATTAGAGGCCCTAATTAGCACCTAATTATTATATAGCTCCCGAAGTTTTTTTCCACCTTTGGACTGCTAAGTTTATGGACCTAGTGAAATCGATTCTATATTCTGTCGTCTGCTACTGGGTAACCTTATTTTCACATCTTAGGATTCAGCTGAAGGTTTCTGTATCTTGCTCTAAAGTAACAGAAACCCAGATTTGATTAGTCGGCCTAAAGTTGTAATTTCTGGAAGCAAGTTTGAAAAGTTCACAAACTCCAAATTATTTTATTTATTTTTCCTGTATGCTTCTTCTTTTCGTAAACTCTTTATTGCAAGTCGAACATAATTTAGTGGGCTCTGATGTAATTGATATTATGCTAAATTGATTTTATACTATTATTGCCCTATGTTCTTCTTTTTATGTAATTATACTCGTAACGATCTAATGTGATTTATTTTGTGGACGTAGACAATAAAGAATTAATATCATGTAAGTTCATTCCTCTTAGCCTTAACTTTTTTTTAAATTTTGACTTTTTTCTATAGATATTCAGCTCCTGCTTTGTCTATCAAAATTTGTTTTTTTTTAGACAATAAAAGTATCATATGATTGATCAATAAAATGCGCATACTCCAGTTATATTTTACATCGTGTATATTATTAGAGCAAGAATTATTACCTGGTTTCGTCAAAAGAACCCCAATCATCTGCCCCAAAATGCATAATAGAAACACACCCCGGCAAGACTTGAGAAATAGACCGGTGATGCAACGGAACTAACAGCCAGTATGTGATTTCGTGATATAAGTGAAGCATTAGAAACAAATATTAGCGTACAAAGATATTTTCGAATGGTGAATAGATGTGTAACTTCTGTAACTTTGTTAAAAATATTTGTAAGTACGTTATATGAACATACATAATACTGGTTGGGTTAAGAATTTTGATTAAACAGGACGTAGAACTCAATAATGTTTAATTTTGAGTGAAATATTCTCCAAGGTGAAGTGCATTCAATTCAAAGTAAATTAATTATAAAATAATAAATTATAAAGAATGTATTCAATGGCGATAAATCAAAAATATTTGGGTCTTTAATGATTGCAGTTGATTATTTCTTGGGTTTTATGTTCAAAGAGCTTAAACCATAAAAGTCAAATAAAAATCCTAACAAATCGTAACCACTTGAGATAATTAATAGGCCCTTTAAAAAATTTAAACGAGACCGATAATTTTAAAACGGGGCGCATTCGTTCGCGGGTCTAATGTGGGTCGGATTAAGGGCCTCTGAATATCCCGTTAACCTATTTCAAGTGATAGGAAACCTACTGAAATACTTGAAGGGGAAAACTGTAGGGCTTGGAGATTTATTGCTATTTAGCTAACCCTTATTCATTGCCGTTCTCTAGGAACACAATCACATGCGACATTTAATTTATACCCAGGACAATATTTTTATTCGTTTTGAGAAATTATTACCTAACAATAGTTAATCTGAAAAA